TTTATTCCATTTTGAAAAGTTAATAAATACACATAACCTCATTTGTCATACAATATTTTAATCGAAGGAACCAACCAAATTCTGAGGAGTTTGTTTAAAAATTATGATTTATGCAACAAATACTGGGGGGGGACATTTTCACCTTGGATCCCCCCTCCAGCTAAAAAATGTGAACCAAAGATGTTTGTTTGGTGCTTGCTTTCAAAGAAAAGGTTCCGTCTTTTCGTCCCTTGTATATAATATGGTTGTGTTCCATTCATGCCTCTGCGACTGTACCCAGCAAAGTGAGTGATGGGTGTGCTACAAGCTGGTAATGTACATCTCTCAGCACACTGCTCTACCATCACACTTTATGCCTGCTTTACCAGCTCCCTGAAATATTAATGTGTCTCTCTTTAGGAGGCCGGGATGTTATGGCTTGCGTGGATACACGAGGGATGGGAGGGAGGATAGATTTGGGGAGGGGCGGACTTGACATGGGGAACAAGGACATTATGGAAATAAAAAGTGAAGATGCTTGAAGCTAGGGTTATTGTGTTTAGAAGCCAGGTTAGTGTGTTTAGAAGTAGGGGTGGTGTCTCTAGAAGCAGAGTCCAGTGTTTGAAATATGGATTGTATGTTTAGAAGCAGATATCAGTGTGTTTAGAAGTACAGGTAGCCTCTTTGGAAACAGATGTCTGTTTGTTTAGAATCAGGGTTCACATTTTGTAGAAGCATGGGTTGGTGTGTATAGAAGCAGGGTCATTGAGTTTAGAAGCCAGGGTCCATGTGTTTAGAAGTACAGATAGGATCTTTGGAAGCAGAGGTCAGTGTTTAGAAGCAGGAGGTCAGCTTCAGTGTGTTTAGAAGGAGGAGTCATCGTGTTTTAGAAGCAGGGGTCAGAGAGTTTAGAAGCATGGTCAGAATGTTTAGAAGCAGGGGTCAGAATGTTTAGAAGCAGGGTTTGGTTTAAGTTGGCTCGGGAGTCTTTTGTGTTTGAAGCCAGTAATGAGTTTGGAAGCGGGGGTCAACATGCTTTAGAAGCAGGGATCACTGTTAGAAACAGGGTAATTTGTGTTTAGAAGCTGGATCAGTGAGTTTGGAAGCCGGGGTAATAGTGTTTAGAAGCCGGGGGCATCATGTTTAGAAACAGGGTCATTTGTGCTTAGAAGCAGGTATCAGTGAGTTTAAAAGCAAGTATCAGTGAGTTTAGAAGCTGGGATCAGTGTGTTTAGAAACTGGGGTCATTGTGTTTGGAAGCAAGGATTGGTGTGTTTAAAAATCAGGTGCCAGTGTGTTAAAAAGCAAGGGTTGGTGTTCCTAGAAGCATGGGTTTGTGTATTTAGAAGCAAGGGCCAATATATTTATAATCAGTAATGGTCAATGTATTTTGAAGGAAAGGTGGATTTGGAAGGAAAGGTTAAGGTGTCTTCATGGAAAGGTCTGTGGTGTTCTTTGAACCAATGGTTGATGTCTTTGGAAACAAAGGTTAGAGTTTCTTTCAAAGAGAAGGCTGTCTTGGGAGAAATGGTGTCTTTGAAAAAAAGGAAGAATTGTGTGTCTTCAGAGGCAAGGGTTGGTGTCTGAAAGCAAGTGTATGTCAGGGGGAGATTAACATTTTATGGTCGAAGATATTGGTGCTCTGGAAGCAGGAGATGTGGTGTCAAGTTGTGTGGTAAATTTGGAGACAGGTGCTGCAGCCATGGCTCGGTAATCACCTGGAGAAGGTTATTGTCGGCACCCTACTGGGGAAGTAATTGGGGCTTCTCAACACACAGATTCATCCAGCGTTCTGACAATTTATGATGTGCACTGAAACCCAGTGTGACAGCTCAATCAACATTGGCTGTGTAACAGCGACTCTTGTTTACCACTCTGAACAGAATTAAAGGAGTTTCCTGATTACCTCCTTCTAAAAGATTAATGATGTTGTATTGCACAGTCAGGAAGTAAATGAATGGAGAATTTTCAATCCTTGTTGCCCATGTCTTGCAAATTCTTGAGGTTCTTAATAATCTGTGAGTGGATCCTGGGCCTACCATTGTGACCAGGTGAGGTAAAGTGGTAGTTATGTTGGGTTAATCTTTATTGTACTTGACTGACTGACTGAGTATGGTTTTACGCCGCTTTTAGCAATATTCCAGCAACATCACTGCAGGGGGGGGGACACCAGAAATGGGCTTCACACATTGTACCCATGTGGGGGTTCGAACCCGGTAAAGCCAACGCTTTAACCATTAGGCTACCCCACCGCCCTTTATTGTACTTGAATAGCCACATGCATTCATGAGTATGTGAGGCATCTTGTATTATTATTTTTGAACCTATTCTTGTAAGAGGTGATTAACAGAACAGGGTGGTCAGGCTCGTTGACTTGGTTGCCACAGATTATCGTATCCCATTTGCATAGATTGATGCTCATGATGTTGATCACTGGATTGTTTGGTCCAGACTCGACTTTTTACACACTGCCGCCATATAGCTTGAATATTGCTGAGTACAGTGTAAAACTAAACTCACTCATTCACTCATTATTAGCTTGTACTAATACTGTTTTTTTTTCATGCAAGCCCATTGAGATTCCATGCTGCAGTTATATCATAAATACATGTACCTTATTCACAGAATACTGACTATGACAAATAAGTCCTTGCTTTATTCCTTTAATATTGTTCATTCATTAGGCAGGGAAACAACAAGTACCTTATATCAAATGGCTTTAGTTTCACAGCAACATTTGAACATGTATTTTTGTGTAATAATTGTTTAATGATAACCTCTCCAGTCTTACAGTCTAAATTCAGTATGTTCATATTTGTCCTCTGCAGATTCTGCTTATGAGACTAATTATTGATACACGTATTCAACATTTAATGCAAAAACATTGTGTACAAATGTTTTAATTATATTATGCATATTCCCTAAGGTATTGCTATTTTGCAACAATAAATATTACACAACTAATGAGAATATGGCCTGTAGCCCTTTCCCCCGTAAACTTATAATTGGAAATGCCAGGTGACAATTATTTGTTGCAAAGGAAACCAAACAAATATAATACATTTTGTCAAGATTTATATTACGGGCAATCAATATTACAGCAAACATCCAAATGAAGTAACAACACTGAAAATCCAATGCTGTAACAGTGTTATTTCCCAACTGAGATGTTTCATGACCATTATTGCTTGAGTGATATTCCCCAGTCAGGCGTTATGAGGGTGGCACATTTACAGCCTATTTATTAGGGCAGCTGGTGCATTCCACAGACTCACCTTGTGATGGCAGCAGACATTGTTTTAATCTTTGGTGTTATTGAGTCAACTGATGCTCTCAGCAGCATCCAGAGAAACCATTACCAGGCCTGTAAAAGTGAGCAATGTTAAGTAATCAAGCCATGTCGGTCATGGCGGGATGTTGTTTAACACAAATATCTACCAGGATCTGTGTTGTGTTGGAAATACTTTGTTACACTCTTAAAACATTGTAATATTTACAGTATTTGGTGAATTCTTTGTTGTTTTAGTTGCAATAAAGTCCACTTATAATAAACTCATGTTATTTAATGGGGATTGACATTGTCTATGTTTAGATTTATTCATATGTACTGCATTTTTGTTTTTGTTTTCTTTTTACTCATTGTTTTTGTTCAAAGTGACATAGTAGAGAGAATCTTATTTGGTTATTTCATTTCCTTCAACTTTTATGAATTAGTTAAAATGATCTTGATTTGAGATCTGTTTTAGTACCTTGAGCAGTGGTGCAAAAAGTCTTTATCTAGGACAATGCTCTGGGCATGGTGGTTTATCTAGGACAATGCTCTGGGCATGGTGGTTTATCTAGGACATGGTGGTTTATCTAGGACAATGCTAATGACATGGTGGTTTATCTAGGACAATGCTCATGACATGGTGGTTTATCTAGGACAATGACATGGTGGTTTATCTAGGACATGGTGGTTTATCTAGGACAATGCTCATGACATGGTGGTTTATCTGGGACAATGCTCATGACATGGTGGTTTATCTAGGACAATGCTCATGGCATGGTGGTTTATCTAGGACAATGCTCATGGCATGGTGGTTTATCTAGGACAATGCTCATGACATGGTGGTTTATCTAGGACAATGTCCTAGGCATAGTTTTTATCTATGACGATGTCCTAGGCATAGTTTTTTTTTATCTATGACAATATCCTAGGCATAGTGTTTTATCTAGGACAATGCTCCAGACATGGTGGTTTATCTATGACAATGCTTATCCATAACAATGCTCTGAGCATGACAATTTATCTGGGACAGTGCTCTGGGCATGGCGATTTATCTAGAACTATGCTCTGGGCATGTTGGTTTATCTATGACAATGTCCTAGGCATAGTGGTTTATCTATGACAATGTTTATCCATAACAATGCTCTGAGCATGACGATTTATCTGAGACAATGCTCTAGAAATGGTGGTTTATCTAGAACAATGCTCTGGGCATGGTGGTTTATCTATGACAATGCTCTAGGCATGGTTACAACAAAGGCTCTAGGCATGGTGGGTTTATATGACAATGCTTTGACCTAACTCTTAGTGTACTGATTTATCTGGGACAATGCTTTGGGTCTGGTGGATTATCATATGACAATGCTTTTCCATAACAAGGCTCTTAGCATGACGATTTATCTGGGACAATGCTCTAGGCATGGCGATTTATCTAGAACTATGCTCTAGAAATGGTGGTTTATCTATGACAATGCTCTAGGCATGGTGGTTTATCTATGACAATGCTCTAGGCATGGTGGTTTATTTATGACAAAGGTCTAGGCATGGTGGGCTTATATTCCATTGACCTAACTCCAGGTGTACTGTGATATCTGTGACAATGCTTTGGGTCTACTGATATATCTGTGACCATGTTTGTACTGTATGCTGTATGCAACTGTATGCCCTGGTTTTACTGCTACATCTCTGACAATGCTCTGGATTCACTGGTGTATCTGACAGGGTTTCATGTATGTTGTTCATTCCCTTGCAGGTGTGACCACCTGTACCTCCATGAAGTGGACAAGCCGTACAATGCCATCACAGAGAACGTGTACTACGACTCGGACGAGGGAAACACCTATGTTTCCATATCAGCTCATCTCAAACTTTCACATTGCATGGCAAATGGAACAACAGATATGGCCCAAAAATTCCAAGTTTCATTTTTAATTTTAGGTAAGTACGGGAATATTTATGTCTATAAAACTTCAGTGAATATATAGCTTATACATGGGTTGATGAAAAATTGATAATACTTGATGCACTCACACACTCGAGTTACGAGTTATCATAACTATTAATTACAGCTTATTTTTGGCTTACAAATATCAGTGTTATGACCTGGTTGTCATCATACAAATGGTCAATTGCTCATGATGTCAAATTCTCATCACGATCTGACTGAAATATTGCTGATGTGATGTTAAATTTGAACTAACTCACTCACTCACGCACTCACTCACTCACTCGCACTCACTCACACACTCACTCACTCACTCATAACAAAGACAAGGGGTGTGAAGTGATACTTTGGTTAAAAAATTTATACCAATTGGATGGTGTCAATTGATTTTCATTCTCAGTTCCCAGGTGAGTATAGAACCCAAGCTGTCTGTGAGGCAGAAGAGTAGTTAAGACAGTATAATCTTATCCTACCAGGTACCCACTTACTGCTGGGTGAGTGAGTGGGAACCAAGTAGAATGAGATTATAATGTCTTACAGTAATCCATGCTTCTTGTAGGAGGCGATTTACGGGATCAGGTGGTCAGGCTCGCAGACTTTGTTGACACGTCATCGTGTCCTAGTTGCAAAAACCGAAGCTCATGGTGCTGATCACTGGATTGTCTGGTCCAAACTAAATTACTTACAGACCGCCGCCATATAGCTTGAATATTACTGAGTGCAGCATTAAACAACCAACAAACAACAACTGCTGGGTGAACAGGCATATTATGAATGCTACAATATCAGTGTGCTTATAGACAGTATGCTGTAAAGCTACAAAACTACAATTATAGTTCAGTGTAATTATATTATCAAACAAAACATGTTCTATCACATCTTTTTAAGGAATTTTTAGCATAAAAATTGTAGTGGCAATCATTTTTCTTCAAAAATAGACTGTACAATCAACAAGGACCTGACCTCATTTGTGAAGTATTAGGACGGATTTCTAAAACTTATTTGAGAACAGTTGATGGTATTTTTACAACCTGGAATTAAAATATGAGCAGATAAGAGGAAGGTGTTATTACCTTTTGCTCTTTATGTGGCTGTTTATTTACTGCCTCTGTAATTCTGTAAGATAAACACTCCATGAAATATCTGGAGAACAGAGTTATGGTGAGATACAAATGCTTCAAGAATGTTTCGATCGTAAATTATACCTTCTTCATCCCTGCTTTGGCATCCAAAGTCTTAGCTGATTGCAAAAAGCAGGTATCTACTTTCCTCTGAGGACACGAAACTGAGAAGATATTTTAGCTTTTAGGTAAAAATTATTAAAATGAGGTTTTATCATAGTGTCTGTTTTCCCGTCCATTCGTCATTCTTTTTTAATTTTTGTATATCTCCATAGATGCCAGCAATGGTGGATTGACAGTTCACACAGAATTTCTGTGTAATTTTCAACATGAGCACTGTTACATCCAATTCAACAAGTCATTATTTGTCCAATTTCATATCCAGAATTATGGTATTAGTAGCACAAATATGTTGTTTTTTAGTTATTTTTCTTACCCTGCTATGGCCCTTTATTATGAAATATTTTTTGAATTTAAATCTTCGATAATTGTGCGTCCTGAGAGTTTCTAGGATTTCTGTCCTGCCCCACAATGCCACATGTGATCTCACCTTAGCCAAGTGAGTTTGTTCATACCTGCCTCTGTTCACTCAGCAGAAAATGGGTACCAGGTGGGACAAGTCATGTGACTATAAACCTTCTAACACCTCACAGGCAGCCTGGGTTATTTTGGGGTAATAATGTCCATTATGTTGTGTATGTGCTTAAAGCATGCCCGGGCAGCATGGAATTCTGGGACCAGTTCCTCAAAGCGACCGTAGCGCTAAGATGATCGTAACTCCCATACTTTATCATAGACTGTCGTAGCATTGCAATCGCTTTGAGGAATGGTGCCCAGAGTCTATATAAGTGGTCTTATTATCATGTTGTTGTTATTCCTTTCATTAAAACCTTTAAACCTCACATTTCAAATGTCATATATGATAGAAACAATGTATAGGGCTTCCATTGTATAGGGTTTCCATTGTAAGTCCTGAAATTTGTTCGACTGTATTCCTGCCATTACTCCTTTAATGGAGTTGTGGGAAATTGATGGGTATAATTTTCAGTAGACAGTAATTTTCCCCTTTTACATTGCAGACAAGAATGAGCTACGACAAGGGATGGTAGCAGAGTACGGCACCACCATCGGCAGAGTGTTGTCACCAAACTTTCCTAAAGGATATGCCTTGAATGGAGAGACATTTACCTACATGATACAAAACTTAGACCCATATGGCCACGTCCGACTCACCTTTGATGACTGGGATATTGCTCCAGAAAGTGTGGTCAAGGTGAGGACTAGGTAGAGACAGTTGCTTGTGTAAATACAGACCCATAGGGAATGGTCAAATTAGAGTCTAAAACTCACAATGTGTTTTCTAGTGTGGTCAAGGTGAGTACTAGGTAGAAGTGAGTGAGTGAGTCTGGTTTTATGCCCCTTGTAGCAATATTCCAGCAATATCACGTCGTGGAACACCAGAAATGGGCTTCGGTGTGACGAGCAAGCGCTTTAACCATGAGGCTACCCCACTGCCCCTACTAGGTAGAAGCGGGTGCTGGTTTCAATACAGACCCATAGAGAATGGTCAACTAAGAGTCTTGTGTGGTCAGTGAGAGTTCTGGAGAAGACCTAGAAAGTGGCCTAGTGAGGTCAAGTGGGGTCTTGGTAGTGGCAGGTGCTTGTTTTGGTAAAGCCCAACAAAGTGTGGTCTAGGTGATGTCAAGTGGGGTCTTGGTAGTGGCAGGACATGTTTTGGTAAAGCCCAACATGTCAAGTGGGGGTCTTGGTAGTGTGATTGCTTGTTTTGCAAAAGCCCAACATGTGGTGTGTATCCCAATTGACTGTATTCCTGTGATGTCAGTGTATGGATTATTCCTGTGATTAGGCTCGATTATGACAAAATATGTCATCAGTACAATGCTTGATTTTGGAACAGACTTACTCTTGTTTACATGGGTATGACCAAACAGATCATTTATTATTGGACTCTGACAATATGGTTTGAAGCTCATCCTACTGGTTTCAACCACTGGTTTGCTTGGTCCAGACTTGATTATTTACAGACAAAATGGGGTAGCCAAGTGGTTAAAGTGCTCGCTCGTCACACCAAGACCAAAATGTGATTCCCTACTTGAGTACAATGTGTAAAGCAGGGCTCAAGATAATCTTTCATGATCAGGAGTACGTACTCTTTATTTTTCTCAATACAGGAGTACTGGAAAACAATAAGAGTACATTTAGAGTACTGAATGGAATTTAATGGAGTATCAGTAATCTTGTGTTTCATTTCATATATGCACCACAACATTGCTACTCTTGTGTAAACAGGTCAATAAACAATAAAACAATACTTTTTTCAGATAAATACGTCTGTAAATGATTTCTAAGACCGTACACCATTGCTGTGGTGCGTATCTGCTACGCTTTCTAAATGATTTCCTACCGTATCTTGCATATTTTTTATCCGTACATATGCCAATACGACCCTTATCTGGAGCCCTGTGTAAAGCATTTCTGGTGTTCCATGATATTGCTGGAATATTGCTAAATGCTTCGCAAGACTATACTCACTCTCTACTGGCATAATAGCCTAAGCAGTAATATTGCTGATTTGCTACTTTCAGTCACTCACAAATTAGGCCTGATGTGTGGGTACAATTTACAGCAATCTTTTTATTGTCCATCCTTATGTCACTCTATGAGATAGAATTTGGACCAGACAATCCAGTGATCAACAGCATGAGCATCCAACCAAGTCAGCGAGCCTGACCACCCAATCCCGTTAGTCGCCTCTTACGACAAGCATGGGTTACTGAAGATCAATTCTAACCCGGATCTTCAGTTACCCAGTGTCAATGAACAGTGATGTTAATGGAATATTGCTACAGGCAGTGTAAAAGTTCTCTCTCATAAACTTACATCATAGCAGCAGTAACAACATTTTACCAGTAGGATTTGAATAGTTTTGTAGCGTGAGCAGGAACCTCTTATCTGCAGGTATCGCAATGTCAGTAACAGATGTTGATAAGCCGCCAAAGTTTAAAAACCTTCTGTAAACTTAAGCAAGCATTAGTATTTACGTCAGATATCTTTTAGATTTCATGGATTTCAACTTCAAGTGATTTGCAATTCATCAGCTTGATAACACCCCGGTTAATGAGGAGATGTTTTCGTGCCGGTCTTATTGAACAATAACCTTGCCCTCTATCATGGAGGCATGCTTGTTGAATCTACAGCTAATGTGTTCCTTATAGTGTTGAACAAACAAACAACTTCACACACGAAATTTTGCTCTATAAACATAATTATGCTTTTGATTTGTTGTCTTTGATGTGAACGATAAGAAATGTTGTGTTTTTTATCACTTGTATCTGATAAGCTGTATTTGAGGTCAAGGGTTTACAATTTATCCGAGGTTTGTTTGGAAACAGCAGCTATTAACGTGCTGCGTCTAAATTGTGAGTAATATCAAACTCTTGTTATCAGAAGTATACATCTTTAATATGTCAGAAATCGAGAATGGGTGACATCTGTTGGTTTATGTAGCTGTGTGTAGCTGGTTGTAGCATCAGCTTCCTGTTGTAGCCTCTGACACAGCGTGAGCTTATGTCATGGCCTGGTTGTTTGTGGGACGGTACAGTAAACAGCTTGTCAGAAATCATTGGAGACATGAAGTCATGGCAGCTAATTATAGAACCCTTTTACTGACATTTCTAAACCATTTCTCAGCCATTTCTGGTCAAATTCAGTGGTGGGGATCCGACTTGAAATTTTGACCTTGATTTGACCTTTAGCACTTGACAGAACTCTTCAAAATATATTTTCAGTGTAAACATATGCTTGATTGATGATGCTGACTTTGGCTTCTGTTTACGGTGACATATTTTCGACAAATCTTGTGATTTTGTCAAAATAAATTCTTGCTCCATTTTTCCATCCAGTTGGAGTACGATGCTTTTACTATGTTTTTTCAGTATATATCAGGGCGGTGGGGTAGCCTAGTGGTTAAAGCGTTGGCTCGTCACGCCGAAGACCCGGGTTCGATTCCCCACATGGGCACAATGTGTTAAGCCCATTTCTTGTGTCCCCCGCCGTGATATTGCTGGAATATTGCTAAAAGCGGCGTAAAACTAAACTCAGTTAGTCAGTCAGTATATATCCTTTTATCATCAATCTTAGTACAGTGTATGTATGTGACTTTCTAGGATATGATCTTCAGATGGATTTTTTTTTTCACAGGATTAATTAAAGTTTGAGTTGCAAAAGGAATAGTCTGTAACTGGACTGCTTCCATTTTGTTTAGAATAATGCTGCTCTAGATTCTAACAGTTGTTCTATGAGAGGGTTAGTTTAATGAAAAGCATTGAAATTTACCATTATTTTTTTTTCTTTCAAAAATAGGTAGGGCCTCATAACATAATCGCATCAGAGGGTTTGTTAGAGTTAAAACATGTTAAGGACAGCTAACTGTTATGTATGCTGTAATGTTAAGGGCCAATTAAGAAACTTGTTAATATTTACGTAATTTTTTACTATTGTCATATCCAAATAGTCCAACAAATTTTACTCTTGGTTTTTGTAAATGCTCAAATACTTTTAGAAAGTGTTCAAATGTAACATGCATATATATTTGGGATTATTCTTTTTCAGTAAAATAGAGATTCTAGTACTTTTGTTTTGTTTGTAAAATCACTTGACTGAGGGAGACTGCTCTTATTTCCTGTAGATTTTAACAAGTATTGCATTAACAGACTTGTATCTATGTCTCATTTAGTCTATATTTCGTCTGTCTGTTCATCAATATTTTTGTGTAGGAAATATTTGAATATCTTTGTATATCCAATATCAAATATGGTACAGCAAGTCCTGTTAACTTTCTTGTGAAACAGTTGATTATATATTGAAGTGAACTATAGTACCTAGCATTATTTTTTTATTGCATTTAGTTGTTTGAACCATTGATGAACCATTTCTCCTTGGGTACAAGATGGTTGTCGTGCAAACCTTGAAGAGTTATTTCCCTTGGGTCACAATCTGCTTGCTGTGGCAGTTGTTCGTTCATTCATTTATTCAGTTAGTTCATTTAACACATATCTTAAGTGAAACATGATTAATGATTATTAGAAGGTCAATATAGCTTGTACTATTTGTCAGGTCAACTTCTGTGAATTTATGAATTAATTATCTAATAGTAAAACAGTTTTAAAAATCAGTAGACGTGGTAAAAACAATTGTGAAAATGAAAGCTTTGCTCTATACTTAGCAAGAATCCTATGAAAGGAGACTGAAAGTAAATGTAGTTCCATTTAGGAGACCTCAAGTTATCAGACCTTATATGCATATTTATCAGATGACGATAGCTAGGTTATGGGATCGGTTAACTGCACTGACAACACTGTCATTTATAGCAAATAATTACTAGTTTGAAAATATATTTTCCTTTGCTCTAAAAGTTAAATATAAGTAAAACTAGTAGTAATTAGAGATGTTTTGGTGAAAGTGTTTCCTTTTGCTATAGTCCGTTTGGCTCAAAAGTGGACCGATGAATTGCAATCTAACGCGAAAACTTATAAACATAAAATACTCAATGAAACACTGATCATAATCAAAACGGCCAGACCAAATCTGAGGAGGTTTGCAGAATATTATGTCCTAAAAATAAAAAGTTGTTTAACAAACTATCATTAAAATATTGACACAGTTCACTATTTGCTACGAGGAGGAGTGCAGAGAAAGGGACAAGTTAGTTGTATGAAAGAAAGGATGGAGACTCGGCACAGCACAGGTTAATGAATCACTAACTTTGTCGCACTTGTGCACCTGTTTCTCTAACACACCTGGCTGTCCCTTCTCTGCATTCCTCCCTCAGAATAAATAGTGAACTGTGTCAATATTTTTAATGATAGTTTGTTTAACAACTTTTTTAATTTTAGGGGCATAAATTCTGCAAACAAATCACAGAGTTTTGGTCTGATCGCCATTATGATCAGCATTCTCATTGAGTGGCCTATGTTTAATAGTTTTGAGTTAGATTGCAATTCATCGATTCCGCTTTTGCTAGTATGTTACGCTCAGGAATATATGTACTATGTTTTTCCTTGTGCCTATGACCTGAAATAGTGAGTGTTTGTATGTATAGAGCTGAAGTCTGCAAGGTTCTAAGTTGTATCACATCAACTAGAAATAAATGAACCTGGGCCAGATAAACCAGTGATTAATATTATAAGTATTTTTATGGAGACAGGATATTTTTCAACTTCAGCCAAAACCAGATATATTTTGATTAAAACT